TGAGATCTTGCGTGGAGCCACAGATCAAGGGAGATTATCAGTGGTCTTGTATGTCTTCCATTTCCTAATAATTGCTCCCACAGTTGATTTCTTCAAACCAAGCTGCTTACCTATTGCAGATTCAGTCTTCCCAGCCTGGTGCAGGTCTACAATTTTTTTTCTGGTGTCCTTTGACAGCTCTTTGGTCTTGGCCATAGTGGAGTTTGGAGTGTGACTGTTTGAGGTTGTGGACAGGTGTCTTTTATACTGATAACAAGTTCAAACAGGTGCCATTAATACCGGTAACGAGTGGAGGACAGAGGAGCCTCTTAAAGAAGAAGTTACAGGTCTGTGAGAGCCAGAAATCTTGCTTGTTTGTAGGTGACCAAATACTTATTTTCCACCATAATTTGCAAATAAATTCATTAAAAATCCTACAATGTGATTTTCAGAGTTTTTTTCTCTCAATTTGTCTGTCATAGTTGACGTGTACCTATGATGAAAATTACAGGCCTCTCTCATCTTTTTAAGTGGAGAACTTGCACAATTGGTGGCTGACTAAATACTTTTTTTCCCCACTGTATGATGATCTAATGACTACAGTGCATTCGGAAAGTATTCAGACCCCTTCCCTTTTCGAACATTTTGTTAAGTTACAGCCTATTCCCCCCCCCCCCTCATCTATCTACACACAATACCCCATAATGACAAAGCGAAAACAGGTTTTTAGAAATGTTAGAAAAATTATAAAAAACGTATGACAAAAATACCTTATTTACATAGGTATTCAGACCCTTTGCTATGAGACTTGAAATTGAGCTCAAGTGCATCCGGTTTCCATTGATCATCCTTGAGATGTTTCTACAACTTGATTGGAGTCCACCTGTGGTAAATTCAATTAATTGGGCATGATTACCTACATGTATATATTACCTAAATTACCTCGACTAACCTGTGCCCCTGCACATTGACTCTGTACCGGTACCCACTGTATATAGCCTTGCTACTGTTATTTACTGCTGCTCTTTTTATTTTTTACTTTTCTATTTTTTACTTAACACTTATTTTTCTTAAAACTGCATTGTTGGTTAAGGGCTTGTAAGTAAGCATTTCACTAAGGTCTACACCTGTTGTATTCGGCGCATGTGACAAATAAGATTTGATTTGGAAAGGCACACACCTGTCTATATAAGGTCCCACAGTTGACAGTGCATGTCAGAGCAAAAACCAAGCCATGAGGTCGAAGGAATTGTCCGTAGAGCTCCGAGACAGGATTGTGTCGAGGCACAGATCTGAAGAAGGGTACAAAACATTTCTGCAGCTTTGAAGGTCCCCAAGTACACAGTGGCCTCCATCATTCTTAAATGGAAGAAGTTTGGAACCACCAAGACTCTTCCTAGAGCTGGCCGCCCGGCCAAACTGAGCAATCGGGGGAGAAGGGCCTTGGTCAGGGAGGTGACCAAGAACACGATAATCACTGACAGAGTTCCAGAGTTCCTCTGTGGAGATGGGAGAACCTTCCAGAAGGACAACCATCTATGCAGCACTCCACCAATCAGGCCATTGTGGTGTCCAGACGGAAGCCACTCCTCAGTAAAAGGCACATGACAGCCCGCTTGGAGTTTGACAAAAGGCACCTAAAGACTCTCAGACCATGAGAAACAAGATTCTCTGTTCTGATGAAACCAAGATTGAACTCTTTGGCCTGAATGCCAAGCGTCACGTCTGGAGGAAACCTGGCACCATCCCTACGGTGAAGCATGGTGGTGGCAGCATCATGCTGTGGGGATGTTTTTCAGCGGCAGGGACTGGAGACTAGTCAGGATTGAGGGAAAGATGAACAGAGAAAAGTACAGAGAGATCCTTGATGAAAACCTGCTCCAGAGCGCTCAGAACCTCAGACTGGGGCGAAGGTTCTCCTTCCAACAGGACAGTGACCCTAACCACACAGCCAAGACAACGCAGGAGTGGCTTCGGGACCACCCCATCCTTTTTACGCTGCTGCTACTCTGTTAAGTATTTATGCATAGTCACTTTAACTCTACCCACATGTACATATTGCCTCAACTGCCTCAACTGGCCGGTGCCCCCGCACATTGACTATGCAACGGTACCCCCCTGTATATATAGCCTCCCTACTGTCACTTTATTCTATTGTATATATAGCCTCCCTACTGTCACTTTATTTTTTACTTCTGCTCTTTTTTTCTCAACACTTTTTTGTTGTTGTTTTATTCTTACTTTTTTGTTTAAAATAAATGCACTGTTGGTTAAGGGCTGTAAGTAAGCATTTCACTGTAATGTCTGCACCTGTTGTATTCGGCGCATGTGACCAATAAAATTTGATTTGATTTGATTTGACAAGTCTCTGAATGTCCTTGAGTGGCCCAGCCAGATTCCGGACTTGAACCCGATCGAACATCTCTGGAGAGACCTGAAAATAGCTGTGCCGTGACACTCCCCATACAACCTGACAGAGCTTGAGAGTATCTGCAGAGAAGAATGGGAGAAATTTCCCAAATACAGGTGTGCCAAGCTTGTAGCATCATACCTAAGAACAGTCAAGGCTGTAATTGCTGACAAAGGTGCTTCAACAAAGTACTGAGTAAAGGTTCTGGATACTTATGTAAATGTAATATTTCCGTATTTTATTTTTAATACATTTGCAAACATTTCTAAAAACCTGTTTTTGCTTTGTCATCATAGGGTATTACGTGTAGATTGAGGGAAAAAAACTATGTAATCAAATGTTTTTGTTTGTTACTTTTTACCCCTTTTCCGTGATATCCAATTGGTAGTTACAGTCTTGTCCCATCACTGCAACTCCCGTATGGACTTGGGAGAGGCGAAGGTCGAGAGCCATGCATCCTCCAAAACACGACCCTGCCAAGCCGCACTGCTCGCTTAACCCGGAAGCCAGCTGCACCAATGTGTCGGAGGAAACACTGTACAACTGGCGACCGAAGTCAGTTTGCAGGCGCCCGGCCCGCCACAAGGAGTCGCTAGAGCGCGATGGGACAGGGACATCCCGGCCGGCCAAACCCTCCCCTAACCCGGACGATGCTGGGCCAATTGTGCGCCGCCTCATTGGTCTCCCGGTCACGGCCGGCTGTGACACAGCCTGGGATCGAACCCGGGTCTGTAGTGACGCCACAAGCACTGCGATGCAGTGCCTTAGACCGCTGCACCACTCAAGAGGCCCCAATCCATTTTAGAATAAGGCTGTAATGTAACAAAATGTGGAAAAAGTAAAGGGGTCTGAATACTTTCCGAATACACTGTAAGGGTTCTTGTCTATTCAATATGTATCACGGAAGTTCAGCATTGCAGCATGATTGAAATTTAAAGGCAAGTTTCCTGCGTTAGCGGAGACTGCATTCGCAGTAAACGCTGCATATGTCCGCTCAATCGGAAATTACCTTTACATTTCTACTGCGCAATCTGTACCGCTTCAGCAATACAGATTAAATAGAGCCCTTAGTAAAAGGAGCTGAAAGTGCATTCTTTATTTGATATTCTGCAAAGTACTGTCCTGGCAGCACAATATGGCAGCCTTGAACTGGAAGATACATAGGCCTAAGGCTGGGTCTCACGCACAACAGTTTTCCCTATATTAAACTTGGCCATACTGTTAACATATTTATTTACAGAGATTTGCAAATGACAAATGATGGCTAATGGCTATAGTCAACAACAACAAAAAATACTTCCGAATGCATTTCACCCATACACCATCATAGGCTGCGTTTAGACAGGCAGCCAAATTCTGATCTTTTGACCAATCAGATCAGTTCTGAAAACGATCTGATGTGAAAGATCGGATGTGATTGGTCAAAAGACCAATTAGTGGAAAACTACCAGAATTTAGTCTTAGTACCACACATATCCATGAAGTGATCAATATATAAAAAGGTCATTTTGTGACATATCCAACACTGATTCCTAGAGAGCCCCGTTAACCCCTGAGAATAACATTAACTGTCAATGTAACATGCAAAGCAATCCACGTGAGTCACTGAAAAGTGCTAACAAAATTAAAAATAATAAAAAATAATAATAAGTAATAGCAATATTAATCTCATCCATTTAAAGCCCCCATGCAGTCTTAGTGTTATTTTTTTAAATCATCACTGTACGTCTAATAAAATCAGTGTTTTTATTTCATTACAATTATATTTTTTATCATTTATTTCCCTGAGCCTCCTTTTCCACTGAAATGCTCAGTCTGATCGTGTTTATACAAATGTTAATGTATTTACATACACAGCCCTGATTGGTAGATAGCATCATCTAGACCAGGGCTCTCCAACCCTGTTCCTGGAGAGCTACCATCCTGTAGGTTTTCGCTCCAACCCTAATCTAGCACACCCGATTCTAATATAGCTGGTTGATAAACTGAATCAAGTTAGAGCCCTGGTCTAGACACGAGAGAACCTACACCATAGAGATCCTATTAAATTATATTAGAATTCCTCATTCTATGGCCTACCCCTCTTACCCCTTCAAAGTAGGAGGATACATACACAAATATAAGATGACAGGTCATTGGTCAGAATAATCTGATCAGATTGTGATGTCATGATCTGAGCCAAAAAGTCCACCTCCCCTTCCCTGAACAGGCTGAAATTCCAGCAATTTTTTTCAAACAGCTCTTACACAAAAAGGGCATTATAATTTTCACAATTTCAGAGTGTTATTTTGACCTCAGTGTGGAAATATCATTAAGAAAACTGGAAAATCACGTTAACGGCACTGACCCTTTAATATATATTTTATAAACTAATTTTTATGGACCAATCTCAAACTACTAATTTTGTTGTATTATACTGCATCTAATATACAAAAGTAGAATTGCAATAAGCTCATTACCTTTGTGCTTAGCAGAACTCGCTCATTCAGGGTTGCACAAATAAATGAGCATGAATCCATTTAAACAATACTGTCCAACCCACAGAATATAATATCTCCATAGTCCACCCTGTGTTAAGAACCTGCGACTTTGGGTCCTTAGCTTTGTATTGTCAGCAGGTCCTCAGTGAGGTTGGTGTGAGTTCAGCTGGCTGTGGTGGTCCCTCTGTCCTTAGGGCGGTTGCTGGAGCAGGACTGCCTTGACTGCGGATGGACTGCCCGTGGGGACAGGCCAGGAAGGACAGCCAGTTCTCCAGGCCAGGGTCTGTGTCGTTGCCTCTGGATTCGGTCAGTACACTGTGGCTCAACACTGAGCACAACACTTGTGGAGAAATACATCTTTGGCTTTGCAAATGCAAGAATATGTGTGTGTGTCTGTAAGCAGCAAGTCTCTCTTAATATATTTAAGTGTGTATGTAACTGCACATGTTTTTATGTGTGTGTGTGTGTTTGTGGCAGTGGGTGTACCTGTACGTGTATGTGTGTTACTGTTTGTATGTGTGTGTGTGCATATACACTGAGTGTACAAAACATTAGGAACACCTGCTCTTTCCATGACAGACTGACCAGGTGAAAGCTATGATCCCTTATTCATGTCACTTGTTAAATCCACTTCAAATCAGTGTAGATGAAGGGGAGGAGACCGGTTAAAGATTGTGTATGTGTGCCATTCAGAGGGTGAATGGGCAAGACAAAATATTTAAGTGCCTTTGAACGGGGTATGGTAGAAGGTGCCAGACGCACCGGTTTTTCACGCTCAACAGTTTCCCGTGTGTATCAAGAAAGGTCCACCACCCAAAGGATATCCAGCCAACTTGACACAACTGTGGAAAGCATTGGAGTCAACTTGGGCCAGCATCCCTGTGGAACGCTTTCGACACCTTGTAGTGTCCATGCACCGACAAATTGAGTTTGTTCTGAGGTGTTCCTAAAGTTTTGTACAGCCGGTGTATATTACGTCCCAAGTCGCCCTCACGCCCAGTACACCTGTGCCCCTGCTGTGGCTGTAGGGTATCTCTTGACCTCTAGCAGCGAGGTGGCCTGCTGCTCATCACTCTCCATCTCTTTGAGTCTCTTCTCGTCCAGGAAGGCCACCAGAGAGTTCCTCATGTCCACCACCTCCAGCATATCCTGCAGCACACGGTCCTCTTCTGCCTGCTGCTCCGCCGTCTTCTCAGAGTCTGGGGTGGACACGGACACAATGAAAATGACAAACTTTGAACAGGAGCTGAACAGAAAGAAGTCTATCCGCACACTATTTGCTGCTCCCAATAAGTGATCTCTCAACAATACTATCAGTAGCTAGGTTTCCATCCAATTGGCGACAGACTTTCATGCAAATATTCTCAAATCCACATAAAGAAAATATTCCCACCAGTGGTGTGTTTCCAACAAAACGGACTTGTTAGGAATAAAACACAGTGTGTGATGATGTAGTGCACACAAAATGTACTTTTTCACATAAGTTTTCATGTACCGGATAAAAATCGAAATGTTCAATGTGTTTCTATCACATTTTCAACTCTACCAGTGCGTTAAATAGCAAATACTACTCTGGTCATGGCACATGCGCTCTAGCCAACAGCTTACAGACAGTGAGGGTAGGCTCTGCGGCAGTGGAAGCTGGTGGGAGGAGCTATAGGAGGACGGGCTCATTGTAATGGCTGGAATGGAATTAATGGAATGGTATCAAACACATCAAACATATGGAAACCACGTTTGACTCCGTGCCATTTGATTCCATTCCAGCCATTACAATGAGCCTGTCCCACCAGCCTCCACTGCTCTGTGGGTAGGCTAGTCTACATGATGAGATAATGGATAAGAGAGAGAATGTTTTTATTTGTCGAAACGGCAGTCAAGCATCGATCATCATGTCACCAGAATAAGACCCTCAACATTTATTGGAAAGAAGCATCAAGCTCATACCGTGCACTTTCACCACCCTGTGAAGTTCATCATAACTTATTTAATCTATAGCCTAATTTAAACTGCATGGTTTTCAGAGTCATAGTGGGAGGACCACACACCATGTCATCGTGTGACTCCAAGTTTACTTCGATATAATGGATATTATATAAATATTTGCGCATAAAGGTGTTTACACTGCCATTTTTCACATAATTTATTTTACACAAAAAGATCACACCATGTCAAACCAACAAATGATCTGTCTGCATTTATAAAGTTGTACCGAAACTTCCTGTTTCCATCACAGCTGTCATGATTTTAAAAAATATTGTATGACTTTACTCGCATAAAAACTGTGGATGGAAACGTGGTTAGTGACACAAATGCAACGTTTCGGTCTTTGTCTCACATTGAAATACAGTGAACATCATATAGACAAGAAACTGTTTGTGTAGGGTAACTTACCATCCAGCTCGTATTGTCTGAGCTCCATCTCTAGCGTGCTCTGTTTGTCCTCCAGCTCTAGCTGTCGAGACCTGAGCGGCCAAGAGAAGGAAACACCAGCTTGATAAGAACAGGGGGACTCAACCTAGAAGACTGCTTCTGGCTGTTTTCAGTCAATGGAGCCTTATAGTAAACTGTGAGCAAACCCCCACACTGACAAAAGCTCATGAGGCAACAAAACAAGGAAGTAACTGTTGAATAAGGGTCAGATCATACAATAGTGACAGTGTGGAGAGAGGGACGTCTGCTGCTGTGTCCCCACTGGCTTGGGAACTTATGCGCTACACAGAAAACAAAGCTTTACTCAATAAGTATTGAAATGTGATGAATAAAAATGTCAATAAAATAAAAACGGGGCTATATACTCACGCCACCATAAGGTCTGACTCCTCAGAGACCAGAGCGTTCTTTTGGTGGACCAGATGGACCCACTGGTCGATCATCTCAGGAGAACCACAGCTGCCTGGGGGAGGAAACAGAGGGTGAATGTCAAAAGTATTTTCCACCATTCGTTGGTGAAAATAAGGAAGGGGATTACAGTGCCTTCAGAAAGTATTCCTACCCCTTGACTTATTCCACACATTTGTTGTGTTACAGCCTGAATCAAAAATGGATTAAATGTTATTATTTATTTATTTATACACATCTACACACACAATACCCCATAATGACAGTGAAAAAACATGTTTAGACATTTCTGCTAATGTATTGAAAATGAAAGATCTAATTTACATAAGTATTCACACCCCTGAGCCAATACCTGTTAGAATCACCTTTGGCAGCAATTACAGCTGTGAGTCTTTCTGGGTAAGTCTCTAAGAGCTTTGCACACCTGGATTGTACAATAGTTGCACATTATTCTTAAAAAAATTATTAAAGCTCTGTCAAGTTGGTTGTTGATCATTGCTAGACAGCCATGTTCAAGTTGATTTAAGTCAAACTGTAACTAGGCCACTCTGGAACGTTCAATGTCGTCTTGCTAAGCAACTCCTGTGTATATTTGGTCTTGTGTTTTATGTTATTGTCCTGCTGAAAGGTGAATTTCTCTCCCAGTGTCTGTTGGAAAGCAGACTGAAGCTGGTTTTCCTCTAGGATTTTGCCTTTGCTTAGCTCTATTCTGTTTCTTTTTATCCTAAAAACCTCCCTAGTCTTTGCCGATTAAAAGTATACCCATAACATGATGCAGCCACCACCATGCTTGAAAATATGAAGAGTGGTATTCAGTGATGTGTTGGATTTGCCCCAAACAACACTTTGTATTCAGGACATAAAGTTCATTTCTTTGCCACATTTTTTGCAGTTTTACTTTAGTGCCTTATTGCAAACAGGATGCATGTTTTGGAATATGTTTATTCTGTACAGGCTTCCTTCTTTTCACTCTGTCACTAAGGTTAGTATTATGGAGTAACTAAAATGTTATTGATCCATCCACAGTTTTCACCTATCACAGCCATTAAACTCTAACTGTTTTAAAGACACCATTGGCCTCATGGTGAAATCCCTGAGCGGTTTCCTTCCTCTCCGTCAACTGAGTTAGGAAGGACGCCTGTATCTTTGTAGTCACTGGGTGTATTGATACACCATCCAAAGTGTAATTAATACAGTGCATTTGGAAAGTATTCAGACCCCTTCCGTTTTTCCACATTTTGTTATGTTACAGCCTTACTCTAAAATTGATTTTTAAAAAGAAATCCTCATCAATCTACACACAATACCCCATAATGACAAAGCAAAAACACGTTTTTAGAAAATCGTGCACATTTATAAAAATACAATGCTGAAATAACTTATTTATGACCGATCTGCTCGATTCGGTCTTATGTAGCAAAATTTGAAATTGTGTTTTTTACATTGGATAAAAGTAGAGACTCAGAGCTAGAAAATGGTATATCATACACTACAATTCAGGAACAATGGGAAAGTAATTCTGCTTTGAAAGTTGATAAACGTGTAACCTCACTCAGACGAGAGTGCTCTGAAATCGGAGTAGATAGCCAGAGCGAATTTACTAGCTACGTATATATCGACAGCTGTCGCAGTGACATCATAAACATTCTATTGAAATAGTTACTTGCATAGTGGAGTCTTTTACACATGTAGCTAGCTAGCTAAACAATGAACCATAATCCCAACTCATTACCTTACTACCCTGCCTGAATCTGCAGGTAGCTAACCAACCAGGTTCAATGGTAGCTAGCTAACATTACGCTATAACTAGCAATGCAAATGGTTCTGAGATACAAAGAATATTACTACACAGATCATACACGTAATGTTAGCTAGTTAGCCAGCCAGCTAACGTTAGCTAGCTAGCGAACAGTTCACTTTAACTTAAAATGAAAATGACTTTCTGACAAAATTAGAAACGTGTAATATCTGAAAATGTAGCTAGCTAGACTCTCTTACCCGTATACAGGGATGGACGCTTATCCCACTCTGTCACGGATGCCATAGTTGCCCTTAGTTTGAAGAAATAATCCGGAGACAGGTGTTTTATACAACAGCATTCTGTGTGTTCTCTTTTCGACTCAGTCTGCATATGTGTAATTAAACGCCAGAATTTTCTCCATCTCCTTAGCTATCATACTCAACTGATTTCAAAAAACTCTGTCCTCCAGAAAGTGGAGAGCAACACTTATACAGTTCTACTATGTGATATCTTTCAGAAAAGGCACGTTAGAAAGGATTACCTACACATACTGACCAGCTCATATTATAGACAGAAGCGTGCTACATGGCAGATCAATCCAAACTAATTTCTCGGCATGTCCAGCCCACTCATTATCTCAGCCAATCATGGCTAGCGGGAAGGTTGCTGTCTTTTTCCGTGGCTAAACCAACTAGGCTCATAATTTAACAATTGTATTCGTATTTACAGATAGCATACAAGTTTATTATTAAGGCAAATGAAAGTTCACATGTTCAAAAAGGCATTTCTGCCAAAAAACGTATTTTGATAAAAAATGGCACTCCTTTGAAGTAGTGACGCGCGACATAAGCCTAGTTTCCTGAAATGACTCACATTTACATAAGTATTCAGACCCTTTACTATGAGACTCCAAATTAAGCTCAGGTGCATCCTGTTTCTATTGATCATCCTTGAGGTGTTTCTACAACTTGAATGGAGTCCACCTGTGGTAAATTCAATCGATTGGACATGATTTGGAAAGGCACACACCTGTCTATATAAGTCCCCACAGTTGACAGTGCATGTCAGAGCAAAGACCAAGCCATGAGGCCGAAGGAATTGTCTGTAGAGCTCCGTGACTGGATTGTCTCGAGGCACAGATCTGGGGAAGGGTACCAAAACATTTCTGCAGCATTGAAGGTCCCCAAGAACACAGTGGCCTCCATCATTCTTAAATGGAAGAAGTTTGGAACCACCAAGACTCTTCCTAGATCTGGCCGCCCGGCCAAACTGAGCAATCGGGGGAGAAGGGCCTTGGTCAGGGAGGTGAACAAGAATCCGATGGTCACTGACAGAGCTCCAGAGTTCCTCTGTGGAGATGGGAGGAGCTTCCAGAAGGACAACCATCTCTGCAGCACTCCACCAATCAGGTCGTTATGGTAGAGTGGCCCGATGGAAGCCACTCCTCAGTAAAAGGCACATGACAGCCTGCTTGGAGTTTGCCAAAAGGCACCTAAAGGACTCTCAGACCATGAGAAACAAGATTCTCTGGTCTGATGAAACCAAGATTGAACTCTTTGGCCTGAAAGCCAAGGCTCACGTCTGGAGGACACCTGGCACTATCCCTCCGGTGAAGCACGGTGGTGGCAGCATCATGCTGTGGGATGTTTTTCAGCGGCAGGGAGACTAGTCAGGATCGAGGGAAAGATGAACGGAGAAAAGTACAGAGAGATCCTTGATGAAAACCTGCTCCAGAGCGCTCAGGACCTCAGACTGGGGCGAAGGTTCACCTTCCAACAGGACAACGACCCTAAGCACACAGCCAAGACAACACAGGAGTGGTTTCGGGACAAGTCTCTGAATGTCCTTGAGTGGCCCAGCCAGAACCCGGACTTGAACCCAATCTAACATCTTTGGAGAGACCTGAAAATAGCTGTGCAGCGACGCTTGAGAGGATCTGCAGAGAAGAATGGGAGAAACTCCCCAAATACAGGTGTGCCAAGCTTGTAGCATCATACCCAAGAAAACTCTAGGCTGTAATCGCTGCCAACGGCGCTTCAACAAAGTACTGAGTAAGGGGTCTGAATACTAATGTAAGTGTTTTTAATAAATTTGCAAAACTGTTTTTGCTTGGTCATTATGGGGTATTGTGTGTAGATTGATATTTATTCAATTTTAGATTAAAGCTGTAACGTAACAAAATGTTAAATGTCGAGGGGTCTGAATACTTTCCGAATGCACTGTCACTTTACCATGTTCAAAGGGTAATGCTGTTATTTTTTAAAACATATTTTGTACCCACCTACCAATAGGTGCCCTTCTTTGCGAGGCATTGGAAAACCTCTCTGGTCTTTGTGGTTGAATCTGTGTTTGAAATTCACTGCTCGACAGAGGGACCTTACAGATAATTGTATGTGTGGGGTACAGAGATGAGGTAGTCATTCACAAATCATGTTAAACACTATTATTGCACACAGAGTGAGTCCATGCAACTTATGTGACTTGTTAAGCACATTTTTACTCCTGAACTTATTTAGGTTTGCCATAACAAAGGGGTTTAATACTTATTGACTCAAGACATTTCAGCGTTTCATTTTTAATTAATTTGTAAACATAATTCCACTTTGACATTATGGGGTATTGTGTGTAGGCCAGTGACACAAAATCTAAATTTTATCCATTTTAAATTCAGGCTGTAACGTAAAACAAAATGTGGAAAAAGTCAAGGGGTCTGAATACTTTCCGAAGGCACTGTATGTGATTGGTAAAGGGCGAAAGACTAAAAAGTCCAGCTGTACATTGCTGGCTTACTAAAGTCAGCCTAATACCAATGTTTCGGTATAATTACCTCCATCAGAACATCAAAGGATCAAATATGAAAAGTCAAATCTCTTGTTCAGGGCAAGCTAAGGTCAACATTTTCCTAGTTATTGTTAGTGGTCATTGTGTTAGCTAGAGCAAATGATCTGTCGGAGTTCCCACCTTCCTCTCCTCTGAGTACCTGCTCCAGCACCACACCTTTATCCTCCAGCTCTTTATACGTCACCTCGATCTCCTCCAGTCGCCTCTGGATAGACTGGAGAGTACAAGCAAAAGATGGGTAACATTGGATAAGCAGCAATCGTCAATACTGCATCCAGTGTTAAAGGGATACTGCGAGAGTCTGGGAAAAATGTTTACTTACCCAGAGTCAGATGAACTCGTGGATACCATTTATATGTCTCTGCGTGCAGTATGAAGGAAGTTAGAGGTAGTTTCGCGAGCCAATACTAACTAGAGTTAGCGTAATGTCTGCACGCAGAGACATAAAAATTGTATCCACCAAGAGTTCATTACTCTGGGTAAGTAGAAAAACGGCTTCATTGCCTGAATCGCGCAGTATCCCTTTAAATATTCCAAAGCAGATCAGATAACTTGGTGAACTGTGAACTGACCTGGGCTTTGTGGAAGCGCTGTATCTCACACGTCTTGGCCCGACGCTCCAAAGTCCTCATCTTCAGCAGCTCTAGCTTTTCAGCCTCCACAGGGTCTGAAGGGACGGTCTGGAACTAGAGACAGCAGAGTAAGGGTGTGTGTGTGTGTGTGTGTGTGTGTGTATGTGTATGTGTGTGTGTGTGTGTAGCTAATAATAATAATAATAATAATAATAATAATAATAATAATAGTAATAATAATAATAATAATAATAATAAATATATGAAATTCCATATATGGAATAAAAATGCCAGCTAAACAAGTCCCAGTCCTTACCTTATCATCATATAAATCCATGCCATCTACTCCAAACATATCCAACTCATCTTCATCATCTTCAGCACCATCTTCTTCGGATACACTGTGGCCATAGTGTACTTCTGTGAAGTTAGAGAAATAAAATAATTCATTCAGGACAGATATGAAGAACATGCGTATGAACAACTGCTGGTTGCTCTTTGGGGGTCTAGATCAGGTAACACCACAGTCTTTACCGGGAGCTTTACCTGGGTGGCTGTTGAGGACGCTGAAGCGGTAGTCCCTCCTCGGCCGAGGGGAGGAGAGGTTCCAGGGGGAGAACTTGGAGCGGACCCTGCGGTGTTGACCCTGGCCCTCCGCAGGCTCCTCTTTCTTCCTAAAGCAACGGCGGTTCCTGTGATCCCGGATGCGTCCAGCCACCCTCGGGCCCCCACTCCAGTAGCCCTCCTCCTGGCAATCTGCACCTCAAATCAAACTCGATTTAACTCTCAAGCTACCGACTGTGGTCATTTTGAACATAATTTTTTATCATCCCTCAAAAGGAAGCTTCGTGCATTCGGAAAGTATTCAGACCCCTTCACTTTTCCACCTTTTGTTACGTTACAGCCTTATTCTAAAATTTATTAAATAAATGTTTTTCCCTCATCAATCTTTGAAATTGTGCTCAGGTGCATCCTGTTTCCATTGATCCTCCTTGAGATGTTTCTACAACTTGATTGGAGTCAACCTGTGGTAAATTCAATTGATTGGACATGATTTGGAAAGGCACACACCTGTCTATATAAGGTCCCACAGTTGACAGTGCATGTCAGAGCAAAAACCAAGCCATGAGGTCGAAGGAATTGTCCATAGAGCTCCGAGACAGAATTATGTCGAGGCACGGATCTGGGGAAGGGTACAAAACATTTCTGCAGCATTGAAGGTCCCCAAGAACACAGTGGCCTCCATTCTTAAATGGAAGAAGTTTGGAACCACCAAGACTCTTCCTAGAGCTGGCCACCCGGCGAAACCAAGAACCAACCCGATGGTCACTGACAGAGCTTCAGAGTTCCTCTGTGGAGATGGGAGGCGCTTCCAGAAGGACAACCATCTCTGCAGCACTCCACCAATAAGGTCTTTATGGTAGAGTGGCCAGACGGAAGCCACTCCTCTGTAAAAGGCAAATGACAGCCTGCTTGGAGTTTGCCAAAAGGCACCTAAAGGATTCTCAGACCATGAGAAACAAGATTCTCTGGTCTGACGAAACCAAGATTGAACTCTTTGGCCTGAATGCCAAGCGTCACGTCTGGAGGAAACCAGGCACTGCTCATCACCTGGCCAATACCATCCCTACGGTGAAGCATGGTGGTAGTAGCATCATGCTGTGGGGATGTTTTTTAGCAGCAGGGACTGGGAGACTAGTCAGGGTCGAGGGAAAGATGAACGGAGCAAAGTACAGCGAGATCCTTGATGAAAACCTGCTCCAGAGCGCTCAGGACCTCAGACTGGGGCGAAGGTTCAACCTTCCAACAGGACTACGACCCTAAGCACACAGCCAAGACAACACAGGAGTGGCTTCGGGACAAGTCGCTGAATGTCCTTGAGTGGCCCAGCCAGAGCCCGTACTTGAACCCGATCGAACATCTCTGGAGAGACCTGAAAATAGCTGTGCAGCGACGCTCCCCATCCAACCCAACAGAGCTTGAGAGGATCTGCAGAGAAGAATGGGAGAAACTCCAAATACAGGTGTGCCAAGCTTGTAGCGTCATACCCAAGAAAACGTGAGGCTGTAATCGCTGCCAAAGGTGCTTCAACAAAGTACTGAGTAAACGGTCTGAATACTTATGTAAATGTCATATTTCCGTTTTTTTCTTTTAATAAATTTGCTAACATTTCTAAAAACCTAGGTTTTGATTTGTCATTACAGGGCATTGTGTGTAGATTGATGAAAAAAACAATTTAATCCATTTTAGAATAAGGCTGTAACATAACAACATGTGTAATAAGTGAAGGGGTCTGAACACTTTCCGAATGCACTGTATATTCAATCATTCCCGTTTAAAATTGCAACAATTTTACAGTTAAAACACAGTAGAAGAGATCAAAACAAACAAAAGCAATCATAAAAGAGAAGAGGAATACCTGGAGGTTTGGGTGGGCTGGGACCCCCTGCTGTGGCTGAGGAGCAAGAGGAAGAACCAGGTGTCTCTGGTGTCTCCAAGTCAGAGTCCAGGCTGAAGCTCAGGTTGACTAGCTGGTTCTTCTCCTCATCGGTGAGCTGCAGCTTCCGCAGGGACTGCTTCGCCCCAGAGTCAGGGGCTGTGGCTGCCTTGGGGGTCCCTTTCTCTCCTGCTGCTCTGAGGGACCCCTTCTCCTCTACATGGGCCGGTGACATGTCCCTTTTTGGGGTGGGGAGGATGGTGCGTGGTTTGGGTACAGGAGGGGAGGCCTGAGGGCTGGGGATGTCCAAGCAAGAGAGGCGAGGTTTTGGGACAGGGGTCAGGGGGTATGAGGGGGGATCCTCGACCCTCTCCTTCCCCTCCTCCTCTTCCTCCACCTCACAGGCCTTAAACCCTTTTGTCGGGAAAACGTCTATGGGTGGATTTGGTGGGACATTGGGCTCCTCTACAGGATTAGATTGTTTGCTGCTGGGGTGTTCCTGACCCTGAGGATCCATTGGTTTAGGAGGACCCAAGTCTAGAGAGTACTCTTCATCATCATCTTCAGAGGGACAAGGGGAGTGCCCTTCACTGGAGATCCCATTCACACCTCTCTTCTTCTCATTGTGATCTTCTATGGTTTCCTGGAAGGAAAAAATTTGAACGAATTGAAGAAGCACTGTAGCATAGGCATTGTATCATGTGATTAAACATGCCCTGTGAAATGAACCAGTCTTGTGACTCAACACCAATGTACTACTTATACCCACTAGCTGTGCTTATTGTACAGACATAGACAGGTAAGCCACAAGCTGGCAACATGGTATGCAACAGAACAGTTTAATTTACCATCTGCTCAAACTTAGAACAGAAACCCACCTGAAGGGATGGGCATTGTTTCCCGTTCTCCATCTCTAGCTGTTCAGAGTGCAGCTCACAGTAGAACTTCCCTGAGGGCACATGAGAAGGTAAACAACAGCTTTCAGAGAGTCTGGATCTGGCACGTTAGAGAGAGACCCTATTTGACAACCTTTTCTCCTGTTCCCCTTTTCACATGAACCATAAAACATGTAAAAGGGTATCTTCCATGAATTTTTCATATGGTGCATAAATCAAGTTAACTGTGCTGTATTTATCATCCGGAAATGTAAGTTTTAACTTACTACAGGTACGGCAGCTTTTGGACTAGACATAGCTATATTCTGTTTCTGTATTGATAAAAGACGGAGTAATTTGATACAGATACAATTTTACAAAACATTTCACACAGAATATTTTCCATGCTTGAGTAAATAATGACTATTCTATTGTACAGTAACATGATGTTATATTGTACAGTAACATGTTCTACTATACAGTAACATGATCTATTGTACAGTAACATGATGTTCTATTGTTCTATTGTACAGTAACACAATGTTATATTGTACATTAACATGTTCTATTGTACAGTAATATGATGTTCTATTGTACAGTAATATGATGTTCTATTGTACAGTAATATGATGTTCTATTGTACAGTAATATGATGTTCTATTGTACAGTAACATGATGTTCTATTGTACAGTAACATGATGTTCTATTGTACAGTAATATGATGTTCTATTGTACAGTAACACGATGTTCTATTGTACAGTAATATGATGTTCTATTGTACAGTAACACGATGTTCTATTGTACAGTAACACAATGTTCTATTGTACAGTAATATGATGTTCTATTGTACAGTAACACGATGTTCTATTGTACAGTAACATGATGTTCTATTGTACAGTAATATGATGTTCTATTGTACAGTAATATGATGTTCTATTGTACAGTAACATGTTCTATTGTACAGTAACATGATGTTCTATTGTACAGTAACATGATGTTCTATTGTTCTATTGTAAAGTAACATGACGTTATATTGTACAGTAACAATATGTTCTATTGTTCTAGTTAACAGTAACATGATGTTCTATTGTAAAGTAACATGATGTTCTATTGTACTATTGTACAGTAACAATATGTTATATTGTTCTATTGTACAGTAACATTATGTTCAATTATAGAATCTTGTAAAAAAAAATATATATATATATTAAAAAGGCTCATTGGGATCTTAGTAATAAATTGCAGATTGCCCACTAGCCTATTGCCCTGAAAAATAGTACCCGAGTATAGGCTGTGGTTCAAGCGGTGCTCACTACTCACCAGTGTGCTGGCTGAAGGTATACCCGCCCAGTCTAAGGGTGGTGCCGCACTGATGGCAGGTGAAGCAGCTACGGTGGAAGAACTTTCCCTCAGTACTGATCCTCTCCAGAACATAGACCCGCTGGCCACAGAAGTAACACTCCTCATTGCTGCTGATGCCTGACATCAGGCTCAGCTCAGGGTCAGGGTTCACAGGGTCAGGGGTCACCTCAGGGGCTGAGAGAGGAGCTACAGGCTGTGGGGGGGGGGGGGGGGGATTGAGAGCAACAGTAATATTTCTACAGTAGTTCAATAACATAGCATAAAAACATGTGCTTATGGTTTAACATTAGGGAGTAGTCCTGAAGGCCAAATAAAGACAATACAAAATGACAAATCTGGTGGGCTCAACAACTCTTACAAAGGTCTTCACTCTGTACATGTCTCTGGGTGCTGTATCCCAGTAGTAATCAAATAGAGGAACAACAGCCAGTGATATTAGTAGTTCAATAACAAAGCACAGAAACATGTTATAGTATAGCAGTTGGAGTAGTCCTGAACTACTCACATCTTCTTCCTCTCCCATCATCCCTTTTTTTTCTTTCTTGGTTGCCAGTCTCTCCTGTGTAAAAGACAAAACAGTCATGTGACCACGTTTATGGATTCAATATGTAACTGAATAACGGATTACCTCAAAATGAACAATGCTTTAGATAATATCTTGCATGTTTGAAAAGTATCTTTGCCATTACAGTTGATTTTGGAAAAGGCCAACAAAGGCCAAAATAAATTGTAAACCTCATGCAGTATGACAACATGCAGCTGCTTGTCTTAGCTCACCTAGCGGCTCTGCAGGGAGTTGCATGAAAAATAATGACGTCCATATGAACTTGAGGTTGGCCTACTCCCCTTTTAACCCAACAGACAATTGCTTTTGCACAAATGTTCTTATCCACTCAATCCCTGATATTAAATAAACACTAAACTGCCAACTACAGTGGTTTCAGTGACAACATGCAGCTGCTTGCCTGAGCCTTACCTTGCGTCGCTGCAGAGAGTTGTGCTTGAGGTTGTTGAGGAAGAACACAGCAGACCGAAAAGACAGGGTTTTAGACGGCTTCAGGGGAAGGCTCTGAGGTTCTGCAGCAGAGAGAGACAAACACACACGCTTTAGTATCCTCCTGCTCTGTTCTGGCGGAACAACAAACATGTTTCACAGCCACCAAACTAACACAGCTTCTTGTATATAAACAGGGTGTTCTGCCTTTTAATTACCAATCTCTCTTATGTAAAAATGCTGTCAGTCATCTTATAGTACACACAGAGCTTCTCTACACTGCTGTTGAAAACCAGGCTTTGTAGGAGATGTAATTTAATTCAACTTGTCAATCCCCCTAAGAGAACTCTGTGCCATGAGACTTCACTCCCCACTCTCCCTCTGGCGCTCAGATAAGGTTACAGCAAGCGCCCCCGTGACAGACAGGCCAGGTCCCTCCTGCATGCTCATCTGTGTGTCAGCCAGCCAGCCGATCCCCTTACAGAGTGGCACGCTACCTACAGCATCACAGAGACAAGACAAAGCCAAGCGGAGCATGTCACAACCGCTCTCCAAGCCTGCTTCCAAATGCTGGATCCCACTGAAAATATCCCTCCTACACACTCTGCTAGTATTTACCAGAAATACCTTTGGCAGCAAAAACAGCCCAGGAAAATCTGTACTCCTCACAGCAGGAATAGTAGCTAGATCTCTTTTAGGTGAGGCTAGTCCCACCCAAGCCTGATAAGCCATTTCCTCAGAGGCTGATGCTGTTTGCTTTGGCTGCTGCCTGGCTTACCCACTGAGTGCAGGAGAGCGGCATAACCCCGGCAGCCAATCAGGGCTGGTTATGAGCTCAGCCCCAGCTACTCTAACCAGAGGTATGCTGGGTAATGCTTTTAAAGGGACAATGACAGCCCTCTCCCTTTTATCAACATCAAACACATTTCAGAGGGAAAAACACCTGAGCCTTTGTACAAACGGGGTTACATAAGCTGTGTACTGTCTAAACAACCGACTTGGGGCCAGATTCAATTCCTTTCACTAATAATAGGCTATTGATACGGTTAATCTTGGTCCAGCGTTTTAAGAAATGCCTACTAGAAATATGGCCAAAACATCTTTATGTAATGAATATAACTATGCTCAATGACAAGATAACAATGTCACAGTAACAGAAAATTATATAAATATACATCATGTAGTCTCGTGAAAATAGACCAACACAACATTCTTGTTCCAGATAGCTGGAGTCAAGGCTACAAGTAATCAAACAATCAATCATGGTGATAATTACGTATGACAATCATTGCCCTAATGCATACCTTTAGTAGGAGTCCTTTCGTTGAAGGCATCATGGATCTGTGTGAGGTAGTGCACCATGGAGAGCTTGTCTATCTGTCCCTTGGAAGACATGTCACTGGCTGACATTATGGGAGGGATGCCCAGCTCTCTCTCCAGGAAGTTGAAGGCCAGCTGGTTATTGTAGACCGCATTAGACTCCTCCAGAGAGGACATGTCACTGTGGAGGGAGAGGTGAGGGATAGTTACTATGTTGGCCACGGGCATGTTCAGTAGGGCACACAATAGCAAAACTATTTGTAACAGAACACAGAAGTTTGTTTTCTTATTGGACAGTTAGTACCATGAATAACTTGAACAGGAAAAGCACCTCAGATCAATGAAATTTGACTGTAGGCTTATGGGTAAGTTTTTCCTTCTGTAGTACTACTTGTGCATTTGCTACATTGGTGGTGGATATGTTGACTTGCCCCCCTTGTAAAGCCAAGAGACTCACATGACATGGGGTCTGAATGTGTGGATGAGGGCACACAGGGCCAGGCCAGACCTCCAGGACTGGTTCAGATCTTTCACCTTCACCCTGTCGTACCCTGCAGTGTGCTGCTGGCACCACTTCAAAAGCACCTCAAACGCTCCAATCGAATCTGGGCCATGAACACACATATGAACACTGCATTAGGACGATGAAACATAGCGACATTGCATCAAGGCAGGCGTTGAAATAATGCTTTGATTAATACATTCTCCTAAGCTACAGTGGGGAGAACAAGTATTTGAGACACTGCCGATTTTGCAGGTTTTCCTACTTACAAAGCATGTAGAGGTCTGTAATTTTTATCATAGGTACACATCAACTGTGAAAGATGGAATCCAGAAAATCACATTGTATAATTTTTAAGTAATTAATTTGCATTTTATTGCATGACATAAGTATTTGATACATCAGAAAAACAGAACTTAATATTTGGTACAGAAACCTTTGTTTGTAATTACAGAGATCATATGTTTCCTGTAGGTCTTGACCAGGTTTGCACACACTGCAGCAGGGATTTTGGCCCACTCCTCCATACAGACCTTCTCCAGATCCTTCAGGTTTCTGGGCTGTCGCTGGGCAATACGGACTTTCAGCTCCCTCCAAAGATTTTCTATTGGGTTCAGGTCTGGAGACTGGCTAGGCCACTCCAGGACCTAGAGATGCTTCTTACGGAGCCACTCCTTAGTTGCCCTGGCTGTGTGTTTCGGGTCGTTGTCATGCTGGAAGACCCAGCCACGACCCATCTTCAATGCTCTTACTGAGGGAAGGAGGTTGTTGGCCAAGATCTCGTGATACATGGCCCCACCCATCCTCCCCTCAATACTGTGCAGTCGTCCTGTCCCCTTTGCAGAAAAGCATCCCCAAAGAATGATGTTTCCACCTCCATGCTTCACGGTTGGGATGGTGTTCTTGGGGTTGTACTCATCCTTCTTCTTCCTCCAAACACAGCGAGTGGAGTTTAGACCAAAAAGCTCTATTTTTGTCTCATCAGACCACATGACCTTCTTCCATTCCTCCTCTGGATCATCCAGATGGTCATTGGCAAACTTCAGACGGGCATGGACATGCGCTGGCTTGAGCAGGGGGACCTTGCGTGCGCTGCAGGATTTTAATCCATGACGGCATAGTGTGTTACTAATGGTTTTCTTTGAGACTGTGTTCCCAGCTCTCTTCAGGTCATTGACCAGGTCCTGCCGTGTAGTTCTGGGCTGATCCCTCACCTTCCTCATGATCATTGATGCCCCACGAGGTGAGATCTTGCATGGAGCCCCAGACCGAGGGTGATTGACCGTCATCTTGAACTTCTTCCATTTTCTAATAATTGCGCCAACAGTTGTTGCCTTCTCACCAAGCTGCTTGCCTTTTATCCTGTAGCCCATCCCAGCCTTGTGCAGGTCTACAATTTTATCCCTGATGTCCTTACACAGCTCTCTGGTCTTGGCCATTGTGGAGAGGTTGGAGTCTGTTTGATTGAGTGTGTGGACAGGTGTCTTTTATACAGGTAACGAGTTCAAACAGGTGCAGTTAATACAGGTAATGAGTGGAGAACAGGAGGGCTTCTTAAAGAAAAACAAACAGGTCTGTGAGAGCCGGAATTCTTACTGGTTGGTAGGTGATCAAATACTTATGTCATGCAATAAAATGCTAATTAATTACTTAAAAATCATACAATGTGATTTTCTGGATTTTTGTTTTAGATTCCGTCTCTCACAGTTGAAGTGTACCTATGATAAAAATTACAGACCTGTACATGCTTTGTAAGTAGGAAAACCTGCAAAATCAGTGTATCAAATACTTGTTCTCCCCACTGTATATGGAATTGTTTTAAGAAGGTCATACCAAGATTGATTTTGAATTTTAAGACCCCTTGAAGCATCAAATACGTTTTTTTTTTTTTTTTGTGGCCTTACTGCTATTAGCCCATACAAACGCATTGAATAACAGATTCACTACATAGAACAACAGATAGATTTTTTTGGGGGGGGACTAAGGGCAGTTTGTTCTGAAGTGTCTGACCTATATCTATCTGAGATATATAAGAAAGATCAGGAAACATTATTATTTTACTTTTTTTACATGTATTTAATGGGTTGTAGTCTCTTCGTGCCCATGATCTCAGCACAGCACAGCCGTGCCAAAACCTAAATGAATCACACCCCTGCCCCTCATGCATTATTGCTCTAGTAAAGTGAAGCCAGACTGACCTTGTCGCAAGTGAGACCACTTGCCTTTGTCCTTCTTGGTGGGTCTGCCAGAAATAAGGTGTTCTTCCACGTCATAGAGGTGTTTCACCTTCGTAATGCAAAGAGAGGGAATCACAATAAACAATAGGACACAACAGTTGAGATCAACTTCACACTAAAGCCAGAACATAGTAGCCTGGTAACACATACGTTTGTGCTGTCTTGCCAACTCCTATGGTCATTGTCAAGCAACAAGCATATGAGTTGGCTATACAACACAAACAGACCTGGGACCAGGCTAAGAACACAGCAGGGATCATAAAGGCAGAAGCTGGGGTTTGGTTTAATGCAGTGTAATTGATCTTGTAGTTTGTGAAAACTCTCTAAAGCCTTTCAGATCAATACCCTTTCCCAGCCGGCTCACCACGATATACACACACACACAGCGGTTTCCTGACTATGCATGTATACTATAGGAAATATCAGGCAAAATGGCAGAGCAGCACTGATTCAATTCAAAACTTGTTTACAATGTTACACAGAACAATATACAGTTCACTTTGCTAGCGTTGATACAGAGAAGCAGTCACACCCTTTCCCACTATCGTACCAACCCGAACATTACTGAGCTGACCTGGTTACGCATCCCCTATAGTTGCTGGAACCGTGCTGAAAAAAGAAAATATCCAAGCCAGCACTGTGCAGTTCTGGTCAGCCCAATAATGTGAATCAGGCATGAGTATAGGTTTGTGTCGGCGCTGACTATAGAAATAGAAGGACTAGAATGGATGATATTTCTGTTTCTGACCTGGTTGGCCTTGACGGAGTTGAGGTTGACGTGCTGGTAGCGTGTAGCCGGGTCTATGCTGAAGGCGCTATAGTTCTTACTGATGTTCTCTGGCGTGGTCTGGGACAGGAGCTGGTAGATACTCTCTCTATTCAGTCAGAGGGAAAGACATATTTTAAGAGATAGCTCTACCTCAGAAACTCACTATGGACCTGAAGAAGACGCTCCGACTAAGGAACAGAAGATTCTGATGGGTATGTACAGTAAGATTTTTACAAGCAGTTGCTTGTGAAGTAATGGATGTTCAAAGATATACAGTTACAAGACTAGAGCGGCATTACCAGTTGAAGAGTTCTCTCTGAGAAGCCCAGCCAGGGTCATCCCTTCTATACAGCGAAGAGGGATGGTCACATGCTTTTAAAGGTGGTGTTATTGATCATATAGAAAAAGCTTATTTACCGTTCAGCAAGGACTTCCAGGTGGGGTCTTTCCTTGCCCCAGCTCCTAACCATCCACGCTGTGTCGAAGGCAGCTAGGAACCCACGGGCAATACCTGTTCCCAGAGGCCAGAACGGCTGTGGACACACACACACATCCTTTAGAATTCTTAATTTTCCTGTGTATTGACATGGCAACTTATCAGATTTAAAAGTAAGGAAATAAAGGTATGATTCTCTGTGCTGATTTAACACCCACAAGCTGATGCATTAAGCTGATTGAATGCCTCATTTCTTAACAGAGCTCTGTGTGTATAATATATACAGTGCATTCGGAAAGTATTCAGACCCCTTGACTTTTTCCACATTTTGTATTGGACCTATTGTATTCCACCTATTCTAAAATGGATTGAATAGTTTTTTCCCCTCATCAATCTATACACAATACCCCATAATGACAAAGCAAAAACAGGTTTTTAGAAATTTTTGCAAACGTATAAAAAAACAATACAAAAATATGACATTTACATAAGTATTCAGACCCTTTAACTCAGTACTTTGTTGAAGCACCTTTGGCAGCGATTACAGCCTCAAGTCTTCTTGTGTATGACGCTACAAGCTTGGCACACCTGTATTTGGGGAGTTTCTCCCATTCTTCTCTGCAGATACTCTCAAGCTCTGTCAGGTTGGATGGGGAGCGTTGCTGCACAGCTATTTTCAGGTATCTCCAGAGATGTTCGATCGGGTTCAAGTCCGGGCTCTGGCTGGGCCATTCAAGGACATTCAGCGACTTGTCCCTAAGCCACTCCTGTGTTGTCTTGGATGTGTGCTTAGGGTCGTAGTCCTGTTGGAAGGTGAACCGTCGCCCCAGTCTGAGGTCCTGAGCGCTCTGGAGCAGGTTTTCATCAAGGATCTCTCTGTACTTTGATCCGTTCATCTTTTCCTCGACCCTGACTAGTCTCCCAGTCCCTGCTGCTAAAAAACATCCCCACAGCATGATGCTACTACCACCATGCTTCACCATAGGGATGGTATTGGCCAGGTGATGAGCAGTGCCTGGTTTCCTCCAGACGTGATGCTTGGCATTCAGGCCAAAGAGTTCAATCTTGGTTTCGTCAGACCAGAGAATCTTGTTTCTCATGGTCTGAGAATCCTTTAGGTGCCTTTTGGCAAACTCCAAGCAGGCTGTCATGTGACTTTTACGGAGGTGTGGTTTCCGTCTGGCCGCTCTACCATAAAGGCCTGATTGGTGGAGTGCTGCAGAGATGGTTGTCCTTCTGGAAGGTTCTCCCATCTCCACAGAGGAACTCTGGAGCTCTGTCAGAGTGACCATTGGGTTCTTGGTCACCTCCCTGACGAAGGCCCTTCTCCCCCGATTGCTCAGTTTGACTGGGCGGCCAGCTCTTTCTAGAGTCTTGGTGGTTCCAAACTTCTTCCATTTAAGAATGATGGAGGCCACTTTGTTCTTGGGGACCTTCAATGCTGCAGACATTTTTTGGTACCCTTCCCCAGATCTGTGCCTACGACACAATCCTGTCTCTGAGCTCTACGGACAATTCCTTCGACCTCATGGCTTGGTTTTTGCTCTGATATGCACTATCAACTGTGGGACCTTTTATAGACAGGTGTATGCATTTCCAAATCATGTCCAATCAATTGAATTTACCACAGGTGGACTCCAATCAAGTTGTAGAAACATCAAGGATGATCAACGGAAACAGGATGCACCGGAGTTCAATTTCGAGTCTCACAGCATTGGGTCTAAATACTTATGTAAATAAGGTATCTGTTTTTAAATATAAATTAGCAAATGTTTCTAAAAAACTGTTTTTGCTTTGTCATTATGGGGTATTGTGTGTAGGTTGATGAGTTTTTACTTTCCATTTTAGAATAAAGCTGTAACGTAACAAAATGTGGAAAAAGTCAAGAGGTCTGAATACTTTCCGAATGCACTGTTTATATACATACACATACTGTATACACACCGAGTGTACAAAACATTAGGAACACCTTCCTAATATTGAGTTGCACCCCCTTTTGCCCTCAGAACAGCCTCAATTCGTTGGAGCATGGACTCTACAAGGTGTCAAATGCATTGCACAGGGATGCTGGCCCATGTTGAATCCAATGCCTTCCACAGTTGTGTCATGTTGGCTGGATGTCCTTTGGGTGGTGGACCATTCTTGATGCACCCAGGAAATTGTTGAGCGTGAAAAACCCAGGAGTGTTGTAGTTCTTGACACACTCAAACCGGTGCACCTAGCACCTACTACCATACCCCGTTCAAAGGCAATTAAATATTTTGTCTTGCCCATTCACCCTCTGAATGGCACACATACACAATCCGTGTCTCAAGGCTTAAAAGTCCTTCTTTAACCAGTCTCCTCCCCTTCATCTACACTGAAGTGGATTTAACAAGTGACATCAAGATAACATACAGTGGGGAAAAAAGGACTTAGTCAGCCACCAATTGTGCAAGTTCTCCCACTTAAAAAGATGAGAGAGGCCTGTAATTTTCATCATAGGTACACGTCAACTATGACAGACAAAATGAGAAAAATAAATCCAGAAAATCACATTGTAGGATTTTTAATGAATTTATTTGCAAATTATGGTGGAAAATAAGTATTTGGTCAATAACAAAAGTTTCTCAATACTTTGTTATATACCCTTTGTTGGCAATGACACAGGTCAAACGTTTTCTGTAAGTCTTCACAAGGTTTTCACACACTGTTGCTGGTATTTTGGCCCATTCCTCCATGCAGATCTCCTCTAGAGCAGTGATGTTTTGGGGCTGTCGCTGGGCAACACGGACTTTCAACTCCCTCCAAAGATTTTCTATGGGGTTGAGATCTGGAGACTGGCTAGGCCACTCCAGGACCTTGAAATGCTTCTTACGAAGCCACTCCTTCGTTGCCCGGGCGGTGTGTTTGGGATCATTGTCATGCTGAAAGACCCAGCCACGTTTCATCTTCAATGCCCTTGCTGATGGAAGGAGGTTTTCACTCAAAATCTCACGATACATGGCCCCATTCATTCTTTCCTTTACACGGATCAGTCGTCCTGATCCCTTTGCAGAAAAACAGCCCCAAAGCATGATGTTTCCACCCCCCTACTTCACAGTAGGTATGGTGTTCTTTGGATGCAACTCAGCATTCTTTGTCCTCCAAACACGACGAGTTGAGTTTTTACCAAAAAGTTCTATTTTGGTTTCATCTGACCATATGACATTCTCCCAATCCTCTTCTGGATCATCCAAATGCACTCTAGCAAACTTCAGACGGGCCTGGACATGTACTGGCTTAAGCAGGGGGACACGTCTTGCACTGCAGGATTTGAGTCCCTGGCGGCGTAGTGTGTTACTGATGGTAGGCTTTGTTACTTTGGTCCCAGCTCTCTGCAGGTCATTCACTAGGTCCCCCCGTGTGGTTCTGGGATTTTTGCTCACCGTTCTTGTGATCATTTTGACCCCACGGGGTGAGATCTTGCGTGGAGCCCCAGATCGAGGGAGATTATCAGTGGTCTTGTATGTCTTCCATTTCCTAATAATTGCTCCCACAGTTGATTTCTTCAAACCAAGCTGCTTACCTATTGCAGATTCAGTCTTCCCAGCCTGGTGCAGGTTTACAATTTTGTTTCTGGTGTCCTTTGACAGCTCTTTGGTCTTGGCCATAGTGGAGTTTGGAGTGTGACTGTTTGAGGTTGTGGACAGGTGTCTTTTATACTGATAACAAGTTCAAACAGGTGCCATTAATACAGGTAACGAGTGGAGGACAGACGAGCCTCTTAAAGAAGAAGTTACAGGTCTGTAAAATCTTGCTTGTTTGTAGGTGACCAAATACTTATTTTCCACCACAATTTGCAAATAAATTCATTAAAAATCCTACAATGTGATTTTCTGGAGAAAAATTTGTCTGTCATAGTTGACGTGTACCTATGATGAAAATTACAGGCCTCTCTCATCTTTTTAAGTGGGAGAACTTGCACAATTGGTGGCTGACTAAATACTTTTTTCCCCCACTGTAGCTTTCACCTGGATTCACCTGGTCAGTCTATGCCATGAAACGAGCAGGTGTTCTGAATGTTTTGTACACTCAGTGTATGTACACACACACACACACACACACACACACACACACACACGCACACACGCACACACGTCTGTGCAGGAGCATGTTTACGCATGAGTGAATCTAGACATCCAGCACACTGGCAGGACCTCTCACCTCTACCAGGCAGTCTCCCACCAGGCCCATGAGTAGTTTCTTTCCCTTTCTCTCCCTGACCAGCGAGGCGTTCTCAGCTCGGTGCATACAGGTGAAGTCGAACATGGCCACATCAGGCTGGCCCGCGTGGTTCTGGGCAAACTGCATGTCGGGCAGGCAGTGGCCCGTGGAGAACTGGGCAGCGTCGTAGGCGTAACGGAACAAGGCCTCCTGGTCCACGTTGACCTGGGCCAGGAGCTTGTCGGCATCGCTAAAGTCCTGGAGACAGAGGGAACATATTGTAGGTGGTCACCATAGAGATATAAAACACTTATATCTATGATGGTCACAGAGGGAACAACATATCATTAAATAGAACAAACATTTTAAATTAATGCATCTCTATGGGGGACACATTGGGGGTGGTCAGTGCTTGAAGTGGAATGAATAACATTTACATTTACGTCATTTAGCAGACGCTCTTATCCAGAGCGACTTACAGTTAGTGCATACATTATTCTTTTTTTATTTTCATACTGGCCCCCCGTGGGAATCGAACCCACAACCCTGGCGTTGCAAACGCCATGCTCTACCAACTGAGCTACCTCCCTGCCGGCCATTCCCTCCCCTACCCTGGACGACGCTGGGCCAATTGTGCGCCGCCCCATTGGTCTCCCGGTTGCGGCCGGCTACAGCAGAGCCTGGATTCGAACCAGGATCTCTAGTGGCACAGCTAGCACTGCGATGCAGTGCCTTAGACCACTGCCTTAGGGGCTGGTACTCATTTAAATGTTTACAGTACTGGTGTTCTTATTAGCCATACTCAAGCAGAAGAAAATTGAAGGAGCTGGTACTCTGTACAACGGAAGCAGATAGGCCTAATTCAAGCACTGGGGTGGTGGTGGCATACATCTGAGAGATGTCCATCACTGACTAGAATCTAGATGCTGCTTTATGTGAAAACATTGGGTACAATCCTCCTAGCCAAGCATTATATGCTCCACATAAAGCACACACAGTGAGTCAGCCTCTTTAAACAAAATGGAACAGTGACAAGAACTACAAAAAAAACAACCCCCATAATCATGCACAAATACTGTATATAGAATGATTACTAAACAGTTATTGAGCAGAACATCTCCCATGTTGGCAACTGAACTATAAGAGGACACAGAGGAAAGCATTTTATTTATTTTTTTTATAGTCAGTGTGAGTTCTAATCATTGAAGACAAAACAAGATTATCTAGCTTAGTCCCTCCAGACTTGTAGTGTGAGAAGAGTGAGTGAACAGGTATAGTGCTATACAGACATCAATTCCATTAAAAGGGTTTATTAGCGTCTATTCCCTTAGAGCAGGAAAGCCCCCCAGCCTGTGGGGAGGACTATATTAGGATGCAGATGTCAGAGGTCAGAGGAGCCAGAGATGGATAAATACATTTGCACAATGAGTACTTCTTGTCTCTCAAATACATCATAACAGTTGTTGGTTAGCTAGCTAGCTAATTTTAGCCATATTAGCATCGACGTGACATCAGTCAAAACACCTCAAAACAAGACACGGTATCAATAACAAGATACGAGCTGAAACGAGCCACCTACGATTCCACACATGGCAGCTTCTTGTCATTGTTGCTAGCTATCTGACCTCTAGAGGCCTAGTATGGACCTGCTGCTGCTGGTAGTAATGGATGTGTTTTCCTCACCTGTTTAATGACCCCCATCTTTAACAGGCTCTTCTTCTTGGCAGTCATGACAAAGTAGTGGGTGTCGTCTTTATAGTAGACTATGTTCTCCAGATCAATACCTGGAGGGAGAGAGAGAGAGAGACACAAAGAGTGAGAGAGAAACACAGAGAGAGAGAGGGAGACACACACACAGAGAGAGAGAGAGAGAGAGAGAGAGAGAGAGAGAGAGAGAGAGAGAGAGAGAGAGAGCGACCAAGAGAAGGGGGATAAAGAGGGAATGAATGAGTGAAATAAACTAGTTACAAGACAATGACAAGACAAGTGAAACAGCACCGGAGCACAGAAGACAGGGTGCATCAAAGATAATAGCATCATTACACAGGAACCACCAGTAGAAGTACTCTACTACAAACCAATGGTGCTTGCCTACGGAGCTGTGAAGGGAACGGCACCTCCTTACCTTCAGGCTCTGATCAGACCCTACACCCAAATGAGGGCACTACGTTCATCCACCTCTGGCCTGCTAGCCCCCTACCTCTACGGAAGCACAGTTCCCGCTCAGCCCAGTCAAAGCTATTCACTGCTCTGACGCCAGGACAGCGGAGTCAATGACCACCTTCCGGAGACACTTGAAACCCTACCTCTTTAAGGAATACCTGGAATAGTATAACAGTAATCCTTCTACCCCCCCCCCCCCCCCCTCCCCCACCCCCCCCCATAAAAAAAAGACAAAGAAAAAAAGGGTGGTTGTCCCACTGGCTATCCTAAGGTGAATGCACCAATTTGTAAGTCGCTCTGGATAAGAGCGTCTGCTAAATGACTTAAATGTAAATGTGAATGTTGGCGCTCAGTAGACCCAAACTCAGGTCGTAGAATAGAATAGAATCCTACCTGTCTCTGTGAGCAGGTCCTGGAAGAACTTCTGGTTGTAGATGCGGGCCACACCGCTGATCTCTTCCACCTGGCCCTCGGCTGCTGTGTGACGGTTGATGAAGTTACACGTGATGCCGATGGCCAGCTTCCCTCGCAGCTCCTTCCTCCTGAAGCCTGGGGAGTGGGGATAAAGACGTGCATATTGAGGAGAAGCGCATGCAGCCTGAATTCAGGTGCATATAATTGAGTGTTTCAGTTGAATAAATCCATTGTATAGGAGCTACAGCAGAGTGTGTCCTCTCTCCTCACCATCAGGGATGAAGTCATATGATAATACACTGGTCTACAATGTGTACAGTCTGTTCAGTAGGATGACAGTGTGAGTGTGTCCTCTCTCCTCACCATTCGGGACGAAGCTTCCTCCTCCTGCAGATATGAAGACATCAAACTGGAACTTCCCAGCAGGGTGATTGTCAGGAAACATCTTGGCCATCCAGCCTGATGGAGACAGACAACAACAGAGGGAAAGCCACATGAAGAGCAGAGTTAACGTCTATTTCCACTCATACTGAACACTTCGGACAAATTATTTCAACTGCCCTACAAGCTTTTACTGCCACGTAAATATTTAGTATTTTATTCCTCTAATACACGGAGGGAACGGGGGGAGGGTCTAGATGTACCTGTGGCACCTGAGGGCTCCACAAAGCCTTTGAATTCCACCCCTGTGTGAACCTCCACCCCCAGGAGAAGAGACACCTTTAGCAGTATCAGCTGGAGCTGACGGATACCTGAAGGATACAGACACGTACAAATATGTATGATATTGTCACACAGGGAATTAAAACGATCCTCTTAAATTTAAACAGTTGACTGATGCCTGATAATACAGACACATACTCATACACTATGTTCAATAACCTTAATAGCATCATAGCAAACTGATAAGAGACAGGTTTGATTTAGTCATGCGTAATAAATAAATAAATATGATTGGTATTATTACACCAGGAAATCAGGTTGATCTAGTATGGCAGTGGTGGACATACTGATGTGATCCAGAGCCCCCGTGCAAAATTTGCCGTAGAACTTCTTGGCAGCCAGCCCACGCAGGTCGTAGATGGTGTAGGGCCACAGGTGCAGCACGTTATTCCGGGAGAAAGAGTCTCTCTTCTCCAGTACCACCACCTGAGCCCCCAGCAGAGCCAGCTCTATGGCTGTCCTCAGCCCGCACGGCCCTGCACCCAGCACCAGGCACTGAGGAGAGAGAGGGGAAAGAGAGAGAAGAGAAATAAAAAAGAGGAAGGAAGAAATGAGGAAAGAGAGAATAAGCTCTGCAGTTGCTGAATGCACCTTGATAATATTAAAAGCAGACAGTACTCTGCCACTGTAGATACACAACACTGATGTAGAAACCTTAACCACGCTACATAGCCACCGTCTTTGTACAAATGTATTTTACTTCAGAGAACTTCTTGAGTATTCCTCTTCTTCTCTTAAATGAGAATAAATAAATACACACCTTGTTTTTGGCACAGACTTCGCCTTGCTGGTAGTCTTGGTGTTGGGCCCGCTTGTCCAGCTTGACCCAGAGGGCCTTCGCCTTCCAGTAGTTGAGCCTCTCCTTGAGCTTGGTGTAGAAGCTCTGGTAGTCACTGGGGTCCACCTGTAGGTGGTGGCAGAGCTCTGAGAAGGTACGCTGCACCTCCTTACAGGTCTGGGCTTGGACGAACTGGTCAAACAAGGCATGGGACGGGTTGGTAGGGCCCTGGTTCGCCATGGTAGTGGATGGTGTGGCGTACCGGTGCCTTGGCTCAGAATCTCTGGAGTTTACTGTGGAGAAAACAAATACCAACACCATGAGAAACCTACAATATATATAATGTTTCATCTTCCATTTTCTGGGAATACAAATATATGATAAAAAAATATATTCATTATAGTAATAAAGTTGTCCTCTGAAAATAGGGGATAGAGTTGGGCAAAAAAAAACCAATCACAATTGGAAAAACTTGCCAAAAATAACTGAGCTCAGCTATAGCACTTAATATAATCAAAGATTAGCTAACAAAGTGATGCAATATTGCCGTTGGGGTTTGGAGTTATTTATGGAGGTGGTCCTGAGGTCTGACTAACAGACACAATGACTGGTGAGAATTCCCTCTGTCTGAAAATACAACACTGAAATCAGATGTTTTCAAAGTCACCTGAGTCCACGTCATCGCTAACTTCCCCAACCATGTGTTCTGTCTTTATGACAGCTCCCTAATGTTGTTGAATGATACCATGAAGGGTGTTTGACCTTAGTGACGATATATATTACACACAACTAAGACAGTGGTTAGTGGACATTTGAAGTCAAATGTGTCCCTTTATCCATATAACATGAACCCAATCTTTTTTTGTTGTTGTTGCATAAAACATGTTTGCTCAGGATTGAACCTCACAAGTAGAAACTGTAGATGTTATGCATGACCTCTTCACTGGACGAACAAAACACAACATTCACTTTGAGGACAGATAGACAGTACAATGGAGGACATATGCCAATCAGCCTAAGGCCAAGTGTTCGCTCTCAATTGTGAGGATACTACTCTAAAATAAACACTTCCTGTACAGTGGCTTGCGAAAGTATTCACCCCCCTTGGCATTTTTCCTATTTTGTTGCCTTACAACCTGGAATTAAAATGGATTTTTTGGGGGTTTGAATGATTTGATTTACACAACATGCCTACCACTTTGAAGATGCAAAATATTTTTTATTGTGAAACAAACAATAAATAAGACAAAAAAACAGAACACTTGAGCGTGCATAACTATTCCCGCATAACTATTCCCCCCCCCCCACCCACCCCCCCACCACCCCACCCCACTCAAGTGTTGCTTTAGCAGTATGCTTAGGGTCATTGTCCTGCTGGAAGGTGAACCGCCGTCCCAGTCTCAAATCTCTGGAAGACAAACAGGTTTCCCTCAAGAATTTCCCTGTATTTAGCGCCATCCATCATTCCTTCAATTCTGACCAGTTTCCCAGTCCCTGCTGATGAAAAACATCCCCACAGCTTGATGCTGCCACCACCATGCTTCACTGTGGGGATTGTGTTCTCGGGGTGATGATAGGTGTTGGGTTTGTGCCAGACATAGCGTTTTCCTTGATGGCCAAAAAGCTCAATTTTAGTCTCATCTGACCAGAGTACCTTCTTCCATATGTTTGGGGAGTCTCCCACATGTCTTTTGGCGAACACCAAACATGTTTGCTTATTTTTTTCTTTAAGCAATTGCTTTTTTTCTGGCCACTCTTCTGTAAAGCCCAGCTCTGTGGAGTGTACGGGTTAAAGTGGTCCTATGGCTAGATTCTCCAATCTCCACTGTGGAGCTTTGCAGCTCCTTCAGGGTTATCTTTGGTCTCTTTGTTGCCTCTCTGATTAATACCCTCCTTGCTTGGTCCGTGAGTTTTGGTGGGCGGCCCTCTCTTGGCAGGTTTGTTATGGTGCCATATTCTTTCCATTTTTTTATAATGGATTTAATGGTGCTCACTGGGATGTTCAAAGTTTCTGATATTTTTTTATAACCCAACCCTGATATGTACTTCTCCACAACTTTGTCCCTGACCTGTTTGGAGAGCTCCTTGGTCTTCATGGTGCCGCTTGCTTGGTGGTGCCCCTTGCTTAGTGTGGTGTTGCAGACTCTGGGGCCTTTCAGAACAGGTGTATATACACTGAGATCATGTGACACTTAAATAAAAGTCCACCTGTGTGCAATCTAACTAATTATGTGACTTCTGAAGGTAATTGGTTGCACCAGATCTTATTTTAGGGGCTTCATAGCAAAGGGGGAGAATACATATGCACGCACCACTTTTCTGTTATTAATTTTTTTGAATTCTTCTAAACAAGTTATTTTTTTCATTTCACTTCACCAATTTGGACTATTTTGTGTATGTCCATTACATGAAATCCAAATAAAAATCAATTTAAATTACAGGTTGTAATGCAACAAAATAGGAAAAATGCCTAGGGGGATGAATACTTTTGCAAGGCACTGTATCTGTGGTCCAGTGTCTCTGCCAGAGGGAACAGAGACAAAAGTGGTTAGCCACATCACCCTGATCAGATGTGTGATAAACTCAGCCTCACTGGCCACACACATTATACAGAAGCTATACGCTCTACTTAAACAGCTGGTTAGAATTAAATCACTTAGTCAACATGTGCTCTGGGCAGGGTGATGTCAAGAGATCTGAAAAGCTCTTAGTATCACATACTTGAAAAACAACATACTGGAAAAACATTAACATGTCGATGAGATAACCATTTACACATACTATAACTTCCTGGTTGTGACATGACAATCAGCATCATCTCCTAGACACCTGAGACAGATAGACAAACCCTATTGGTCAGAGTGGGTGAGGGGCTTTTTAAAACCACAGAGAGCTGTAAAAAGATATGTGCTTGTGAGAGAAATATAGGCTTCTGTACAGTATAACCAAACATAAACCAAGAGCTCCTCATACAATGGACGGAGAGTCCATGTTTATTCTGTGGAAGTACAGAATAGGTAATATCACAGGCTCTACTCTACTGTGCCTATGTGTGGAAAATCCTCATCCTCTCAGTACAGTAACTCTGTACTTTAGCCTTTTTCAAATCAAACTGTATTGGTCGCATACACATATTTGCAGATGTTGCAGGTGCAGCGAAATGCTTATCTTTCTATCTCCAACAGTGCAGTAATACAAAACAATAAGCATAAATCCCAAAAATCTAAAGAAAGAAATATCAGAATGAGCAGTCAGAGTCTGGAATATACAGTGCATTCGGAAAGTATTCAGCCCATTTGACTTTTTCTGCATTTTGTAACGTTACGGCCTTATTCTAAAATGGATAAAATTGTTCTGTTTTTCCTGATTCAATCTACACACAATACCCCATAATGACGAAGCAAAAACAGGTTAAGACATTTTTGCAAATGTATAAAAAATAATAATAATAATGAAATATCACATTTACATAAGTATTCAGACCCTTTACTCAGTACTTTGTTGAAGCACCTTTGGCAGCGATTACAGCCTCGAGTCTTCTTGGGTATGACGCTACAAGCTTGGCACACCTGTATTTGGGGAGTTCTCCCATTCTTCTCTGCAGATCCTCTCAAGCTCTGTCAAGTTGGTTGGGGAGCATCGCTGCACAGCTATTTTCAAGTCTCTCCAGAGATGTTCAATCGGATTCAAGTCCAGGCTCTGGCTGGGCCACTCAAGGACATTCAGAGACTTGTCCCGAAGCCACTCCTGCATTGTCTTGGCTGTGTGCTTAGGGTTGTTGTCCTGTTGGAAGGTGAACCTTTGCGCCAGTCTGAGGTCCTGAGTGCTCTGGAGCAGGTTTTCATCAAGGATCTCTCTGTACTTTGATCCGTTCATCTTTCCCTCGATCCTGACTAGTCTCCCAGTCCCTGCCGCTGAAAAACATCCCCACAGCATGATGCTGCAACCACCATGCTTCACCGTAGGGATGGTGCCTGGTTTCCTCCAGATGTTTGTTTTTTTCAAATGATATCAGTGACCACTGCTCTATTGCTTGTATTAGAGATACCAGGCTGAAACACTCTGATCCCTGTATAATCTCTAAGAGAAATGATAAACATTTCTCACAGCAAGCTTTTATCCTTGACTTATATCACTCTGAGCTTTTATCCACTTGCTGCTTTCTGGACCCGGTTTTAGCCCTTGCTTTTTTCTCTTCTATTGTTACCTCTATGTCTGATAAACATGTCCCGCTTAAGAAGCACAGAGTAAGAAACAGAACCAGTTCTTGGTTCTCTCCTGAATTGTCAGGTCTTTTTCTGCAAAAGAATCGGGCCTGGGCCTTGGCGAGGAAAACAGGTACTCCAGCTGATTGGCTGTTTTTTAGGAAATTGAGAAATAAATGTACTGCAGCTGTCAAAAAGGCAAAATCAAATTACTTCCTTAATGCTATGACAGATTCTGCAGGAGATCCTGCAAAATTCTGGAAAACCGTTAATTCACTGAAACGGGGGAATTCTGCTGTTTCTCTTCCAAAGCAAATTATCTCAGACTCCTGTATTCTAAGTGAAAAAAAAAAGATATTTGTGATGCTTTTAATAAGCATTTCATCTCTGCTGGTTTTTTATTTGAAAAGAAAAGTGGCCATTGTGGTACTGGCCAGTTAGTTGATTTTTCGTCTTGCTTTTCAACTGTTACTCTGAAAAATGGTAACCCTGTTTTTAGTTTCCAGAAAATAACTGAAGCAGAGGTTCTAGCTGCCCTGTGTGCCATTGATACTAAGAAATCCTTAGGCGCTGACAATTTAGACCCGTACTTACTTAAGTGTGCTGCACCTATCATTGCTGGTCCAGTGACACACATTTTTAATCTAACATTAAGCACAGGAAATATCCCTAAGGTGTGGAAAGCAGCTTTTGTTCTGCCATTACATAAGGGAGGTGACGGTAGTGATTTGGATAACTATCGACCCATCTCTAGGCTCCCTTGTCTGGCAAAGATCCTAGAATCTATAGTCAACAAACAGTTACAATCTTTTCTTTCTGTTAACTGTATTTTTAGCCCCAATCAATCTGGTTTTAGATCTAAACACAGTACCACATCGGCTACTATGCTTGTTGTAAATTATATTGCAAATGCCTTAGATGATAGAACGCACTGTGCTGCGTCGTTTGTAGATTTGTCAAAAGCTTTTGACACTGTAGACCATGCTATCCTTTTGAGTAAGCTGTCATCTATAGGACTGGGCACTGATGCCTGTCGATGGTTTTATGACTATTTTAAAGTTAGAACTCAGGCCGTCATGGTCGACAGGGTCAAGTCTGACCCCTTACAGTTACTTAAAGGGGTCCCTCAGGGTTCAATAATTGGCCCACTATTGTTCTCACTTTATAAAACAACATTGGTGATGATGTCAGATATTGTAAATTCCATTTATATGCAGATGACACAGTGATGTACTCTATTGCTCCAACAGCGGACCAAGCTTTAATGCAGTTGGAGTCTGATTTTAGGATACTACAGTGGTCTCTTTTACAGCTTAAACTTGTTTTAAACGCTAAGAAAACAAATGTCATGTTTTTTTCTAGGTCTAAACTCTCAATTAGAAACACTTTTGTAATCACTAGCTTGGACGGTACTCAAATCAAACAGGTCTCTGCATATAAATAGTTAGGGGTATGGTTAGATGATAGGCTTTCTTTTAAAAAACATGTTACTGAAT